TTTCGTTCGAAAAATAAAAGTTTGACGAACAAGATAAAATAAGCATTGCATATGACGGCTTAAGATGAAAATAAAAAGAGAAGAGAAATCCTGAGGCTGAGATTTCATGGTTATGGTTAGTCCAAACTTAAAATCTTAAAACTTCTTTTTTAGCTTTGTTCTGGGGCAAAACAAGAGCAAATTGAAGCATCGTATCTAAATGGAGACCCTGCTTACTACTTTCAAATCGGTCGGAACGCTTACGTAATACATTTTGAAGGTACACTTATGAACCAAAGGAGTGTAGATCCAGAAGTCCAAGCGGTTCGGCTTGTCAGAAGAAGACCAATGTCTACTTCGAATTCAGCACCACAGACTGCAATGAGGTGAGTGAACGCAGACTGCGCTCTAATTAGGAAGAGTAACCAATTTTTTTTTTTTTTTAAGTCACTGAAAGAGACATTGCTCTTTTGTAAGCGGTCCCGGGACAGAACTAGGCTTTCGATTGATGAAAAGCCGAAACACAATAAGGGTGATGATGATGATGACAATGATTTTTAATAATTGATGGTCTCCATGTAAGTGGATGGTCTGTTCAGCATTGTGGCTTATCCATCAAATCTCCATGAACTCAAGAAAGAAAGAAATATAAGGGAACTGGCTGCTCGATTGACATAAAGCAACCCCTGTATTGTTGTCGTCTCAATTGTTATTCGATGGGAATGGGTCGGGGCGTTCATTATGTGAGGTCCTATCATGTGCTCGTTATCATCTGGGAGGGAGCGTGTTTACTTGTTTCAATGTAAATTTGATTTGGATTTTGTTATAACTATCATCACTAGTTCTTAAAAAGCTAGGTTTTTGTTAAGAGTCAGCACGTATTTCCCTGTAACTGGAGCATGTGATTATCGATGTTCCTCTATCTAACACATCTCATTTTTAAATCGTTTTAGGTATCATACGGGCAAGGCTAAGGATTTTGAACGAAGGCGTTTGAGAAAGCATTGCAAAGAATACCGAACTGTAAGTCAACGTTTTCACGAAACATTGCCAAAACTCAAGGCCTCCATATTGGTGGTGGAGAAAATTCGGAATGACGAGTTACGCGAGAGATACGAAAGGTGAGACTTAACTCACTATCTTGTTAGAAGATTTTTACAGGACTTAGTAGGAACAGCCACCCAAGCACGAAGTGCTGAGGCTTTATTCGAAATAATCTTGTTTTTTCTTCTAGTTTGACTATGCCTGAGTCACAGTCGGTCATTATGTTCACATCGCTTCGCCACCAAACGCTTGACAACTACACTCTTTTACCGATTAACATTTTATTTGTCATTTTCCCATTAGTAAGTGCGAACGAATTCAAAGGAAACTAACACTAAGAGGGTACGATGAGATCGAAAAGTTGCTTTTCCATGGTACAACACCAGATGTTGTTGATGCAATCTGCAAACATAACTTTGACCACAGATTGCGAGGGAAGAACGGGACACAGTATGGAGAAGGAAGCTACTTTGCTGTGGATGCCTCCTACAGTAATAACTACAGTAGTGATGATGGCGAGAAGATGAGATACATGTTTCTGGCAAGTGTGTTAACAGGGGAATCAAAGCTTGGACGTAAAAACTTTCGTCGACCGCCTCTAAAAGATCCAAGCAATCCTACTAGCGATTTGTATGATTCTTGTGTTGACGACGAAAATCGACCAAAGATCTTTGTAATTTTTAATGACGAACAGTGCTATCCTTCTTATTTGATTAAATATCACTTGAAATAGGTTTATGTTTCGAGGCCATATGCATCACAATGGTAAACATTCAGGAACAAGCGCTTTCAATAATCCTATCAGTTGCAGGGAGATCACGAAATGAAACCTCATTAAGTAAAGGGAAAAATAGATTAAAAAAAAAGATACAAGGACAAACGGAATTTAGTACAGAGTGCTATAGTTTGATATGCCGTAAAATTTTCACAACGTATAGCGTGAAAGAATAAGCTGTCATTCTGTTAAATGGTCAAAATTATAAAAGTTAATTAAAGATCAGAAATCAGAGTTTATGAAGATTTAAGTACATATGTGCTTTTTTATTGGGTAACGCAAATAATTAGCGAATAATGTGCATGCTACTTAAGTTTGAATTCCTTCTGTTAAACCTTAAAACGTTTTCAATTTTCCATGGGTTTACCGGTGCAAGGAACGATAGGTTTTTGACCAGTCATGGTGCTCGTATTAAATTTTTTTAAATTGAAATAGTTGTTTTGGAAATGAAAATTCCATGGAGACAAGGTTCCGTCACGTTTTGAAACTGAACGTATTCATGAAAACGAATGCAAGAATTCCGAGAAAGTGGCAATGTTTTCCCAACAGGAGTGGGGTGGGGAAAATGTCTTTCACTTATATCAGTCGAATTTTTGCTTCTAATAATTATTGATACAGCTTAGAACAACTACGTTTATGCAGTTGAATATCACAACAGCAGTTTTGCGTAATGAAATTATTGAAGATTGTGTTCGATGTTCTACTGCTTGATCAACTTTGGAAAGTGTATTATTCAAGAATAATTATTTTGATTTACCTCTTTGTCTCACACCGTGTCTCAAACCGTGCCCATGCCACCGTGCTTGATTGTTGTCAAGCCCCTCCCGTCAGTCGCTCTCGCGTGATTCATGCCTCATCATTAAAAAAGGCCACTGATCCTTTAGAATCGTCCTCATCGTAATTCAGTAATCCCTTTGTTTTCTTCCTCACAATTCAAGTGACTAAATCTCCATCAGCAGTTATAAGTTTATTGAAGAGCTTCCGGTAACTCAAAAATCGAAGGCAAATGGTTCTGTTGCACATCGCCCTCGGCTTATCAATTGGACTATCCGTATGTCAACGATATCAGCGGGAAAAAAAACAGTAAAATATCGCAGGAAAACATCGATCAATTTCCCGTTCAAATACACGTCTGTGTTTATTTCCTTCTGTCAAGTTATCGAAACGAAACCGAAAATGTTAACCTCACTTTCAGGAAAAATCACTGATTACGGCGTAATCACCACTTCTGCCTTGGTCATCTGCTTTTACAATTTTGTAGAATTGTGAGCTTCAAAGATCAGGTTCCAGAATACCAAGGGCCGTTGGAAACAGTGGAAGAAACTTAGCAGATACACGATTCCTATTGCTGATATTGAGCTAAATTCTTCGACGCATGATGCCTTTAAATCATGTTTCGATGATAAATTACATCCGTAACCAGTAATATGTTCCGTTTTTATTACAATTCTAGTTATCTGAGAGGCAAGGCTAAAGATTTTGAACGGACTCGTTTGAAAGAGAACTGCGGAAAATACCAAGCTGCGAGTCAATTTTTTCACGAAACAATACCAGAAGACCAGGTTTCCATAGTGATAGTGGAAGAAACTTGGAACAAAGAGTTACATGAGAGATACGAAAGGTGAACTTATAAAACGGTTAATATTGTATATAGAGAGGGATAATGTGCGCGGAACTTGCAAAGGACGACTGCACATCATATATCTGAAGCTGACTTCACATTGATTTAGTTTTTTGTTATGTTTTAATTACATCTAAGTGAAGTTTGGTCCCTTAAAATCGGAGCTTTACAAAAACTGTAAAAAAAAGTAAGAAAATGAAAAAAAAACCCCAAGGGTGGAAAAAATTATTTTTTTTTAAATCAGTGACGCCAAAAAGCCGTGTGATCTTTTTCACACTGCCCTGCGAAGCATTCTGCATACTGTATGCTTTGGACCAAGGAAGTGCTTTTTGAACATATCACCCTTTTAATGATTACAGGTAAAATTGCCGCAAAACGAAAGCGCATTGATTGCATGGACAAATTTCTTGCTTTAGATTTCGGAGCCAAGGTTCAGTTTTCCAATTTTTCCTAATTATTTTATACGGGGCTCAAAAATTAAACAGACCACTTTTATCTGTTGCCGATGATGATCTGTTATAAAACAGCGAACAATGAAGATGGCCTTAAGTAATTATAGTTTTCTCAACTGATGAGATGTGATCTGTGCTGTTTGAGCACGCGCCTTGGAATTAAATAGCCCCTCAACCTTTTCCATTGTAAACGTTCATTTATTAACCCTGCTTTAATCGTTTCTTCATCTAGTAAGCGGAAAAGAATCAAAAGGAAACTGAAAGCAAAAAGGTACGATCAGATAGAAAAGTTGCTATTCCATGGTACTTCATCGGATGTCGTTGATGCCATCTGCAAGCAGAACTTTGATCACAGATTGCGAGGAAAGCATGGGACAAAGTATGGAAAGGGGAGCTATTTTGCTGTAGACGCTTCCTACAGTAATAACTACAGCGGTCTATGTGGGGATAAGACGAGATTCATGTTCCTAGCAAGAGTTTTGACGGGGGAATCCAAGCTTGGAATGCCAGATTTTCGTCGACCACCTCTGAAAGATCAAAGCGATCCTGCCAGCGATTTGTACGATTCTTGCGTCGACGACGAAAATCAACCAAAGATCTTTGTCATATTTAATGACGAACAATGCTATCCTTCCTATCTAATTCAATATCAGCTGTTATAGTTTTTAGTATCAAAGTCAGATGAATCAAACTACAGAAGAAAGTCAGTCACAAGTACATTAACCCGATCATCTCCAAGGCGATCGTCATATAAAATTCCATCGAGTTTAGTAAAAAATGTATCACTTAGCTAGAAAATAAGTAAAGAAAAACTTTTATCGTTGTAGCTGTTAAAGTCAGGTAAATCAAACTAGGGAAGGTCGGCCACAAGTGCGTTAACCTGATCAGTTACAGGTAGATCATAAAATGAAGTCCATTGAAAATAATAAAAAATTTTTTAATGAAGAATAAGTAAGTAAGTAAAAACAATACGCAAAAAATAGAGAAAACAGGTGAGAATACAAGTCTAACGTACAATAAAGGTCTCACAAAGTGCTTTGGAGAGAAAAGTATAGCGATCAAGAGAGACTTTGTTACTGTCTAGATATTGATTCTCGCGCATGTCAAAAGATCTACAAACACACGTGCTGAAATTTGTCAGCATAATGCTATTTTGGACTTACCATTGTCAAAATTTCTTAGGGATAAATTGACATAACTTTTTCATTCCTTAAAAGAAAGAATACTTAAGAGTAGAAAGTAGATTAAAGGCTCCAAATAAGGTTTTCAGTCAATTAGCTGGGTGGCGGTGTAGTCATAGGGATGTTTGTTGTGTTATCATTGCGATCAAATATAATCGTTCCGGAAGTTTAGTAATTGTTGTTGATAGTAATATCTCACTGTCAATATTACTCTGATTTGATGTTTTATGTACCTGCAGAATGGATGTCGTAAGTTAAGGTCCAAGACCATGCAGAAAATTCAAATTACTATTTGCGGGTGTATATTTGCTTGCAGGTATGATAACCCACAGTGCGCTGCTATGCTTTGTGTACCGTTTTTCATTACCAGGTCAAGTGCCTCAGCTCTGTCTGAGAAAACAAATAATGAGTAATTCTAAGAAACGACTGAAATCGGCTAATATGTAAAAACACTTTTTGCCCCCCTCCCCCCAAAAGATTGAAACGAAAATACCCTGTACGTGTGTTTTCGTTGCACTGGATGTTTCGTTCCCAGTTATTGGCGAAGGATATACAATAAATTATTACTCCTTTTATACCATAAAGAAAAAGGGGGTTTTCCCGTGACTTTTGCGTTACATCAGTGTCTCAGTGTCAATTCATTCGATCGGCCGGATGTAGTCATATGAATATCAAATGACGGGTGTCACCTAACTGACTCATTTCACTCATTGATTATTCTCAGATAGTGACCTCGCTCTAAATACTGCTTGGCAAACAACTTCATACATCACGGCCGTCGCACATGCGAATCGCTTTACTTTGTGGACTTACATTATATTTCGGTGCCTATGAAATTACAGAGAAAACAGTGAAAATTGGATTTACCGTTGTCAAAACCTTTCTTTCATAACTTGTGAAAAAAACTTTTGTCAGGTTCCCAAATCCAATTTAGAGGAAGAATATGTCCCTTACCTTTAAGCAATATTGTTTACAAAGAGTTGATGAATCGACGGTTCTCAACGCTTTTGAGACAAGTTCCCTGGTGCTCATGTTTGATGTCCCGAAATCTAAATCTCTTGTTTGAGTTAAGCGGGACAACAACAATATTTCGCTATCCAGGGTGAAAGGACCCAGTTATTGTTTACAATATCATTCTGAACTCAATAAGCAGTAGTCTTGACTGAAACTTACTCTGCCTGTCAAAAAAACTCTCAGAAATTCAGGATAGAAAATGGCTGGCGTACAAAGTCTATTGTGACCCTCTCAAGGGGCATCCTTGTAGGGTTTACCAGAATACCATTTTCAACAGCAGTAAGTTTTGGTGACAATGACAAATTCAGGTGCACTCTTACAGGAAATTTAATCCTGGTACCATATCTATTTTTGTCTAAGCACTGATCCCATAAATTGTGAAAATTGCACTGGTCAAAGTCCTGCTTCTCTAGCATAACATATTTGCTATTCTCTGCTAGCTCGACCTTTCCCATGTAATAGGAACCGATAATAGTCATGGTGGAAAACTTTACTTTTTAATTTAGATGTAATTGCCAGGAGTAGGAGATCTATGTTTTTCTGCAGACGAGCTTATGAGATCTCTGGTCTTTCAAATATCCTGAATAAACACAGTGTAAGCTTTTTTGTTTTGGCCCGAGGCAAATTCTTTGGTATCTCATCAGAAAATATAACGTAAGGTGGTACTCTAACAATACATACATCGTACCCCCCTACACTACACTAATTTAAATTAATTTTATAACCATTGTCCTTTTATTGATAATACATTATACCCTAAGGTGTAAACTTCTTCGTTAAAAAAAGACCCAAAGCAGTTCAATGAACAGTTGCAGAAAATAAACCATCTCCTAGATTTTATTTTGTGATAAAAATATTCCTACATAATTTTTTATTTAAGTTTCCCACATTTTGTGATTAATTAAGCAACAGTTTGTAAAAGAAAGTACTAACAGATCACTATAAATCAGTAGCACTACGTTGCAGACATTCCAACCCTTCCGATTTGATCGGGAGTTTCCCATGCAATTTGATGTGTTGCCTCCTTTTACCGGGTTCTCCTGATTTATTGTAAAATTCTTATAACAAAGAAAAAATTGCTTCTCTTTTAAGAATTCCCTGCGATCTCAGTGTAAAACGTTACGTACTACACTTTCCTATCCCATTCTTTATTTGCACTTGACATCGGCATAAATTAAATTACACTTACTCTCTTTATTTCGCCTCAAAAGAGGTTGGAATGTCTGATGTTGATCTAGAATTCGCGAACAAAATGGTAGTCTTTTATAATTGACAACAATCTGCAAACACGTTGCTGACCTCTCAAAGAAACCATAATCACAATGCTGCCTGAACATTCAAACTTTATTTGTCGTTAAACATATAAGAGCCAATCCAAAAATCAGTGCAATTTCCCGCCTCTAACCACCTCAAGAACCTGCCAGATTTCCGACAAACGCTCATCATCTGCCGTCGACACATGATAAGGATCGAAGAGGTCGATCATAAGCCTTCGACTAACGGTATTAAGTTTCAAATTAATCACTAACTGAGTTCACATTTCACCCGACCCTCCCCACGCCAGCGCATAATGTTTTGGTCGAAAGTCGGTACAAACCAGCCCTGGCGTGGGGAGGGTCGGGTGAAATCTGAGCTCGGTTAGTGATCAATTTGAATTTTAATACTGTTTATTAGAAATCGACCGTTGCAAATTACAAAAAATGTAAGAGTTCAACCAGTGTATCAAATAACTGACGTCGCGCGGCCTCAAACCCACAGAGTTATCTACCTGTGGGTGATCGCTGACAACATGTGCGTCAGCAAAACAACCGCTGTCTGAATGAAATTGTCAGGATGTACGGCAGATGTAACATTTTTTTGACAAGGATGAAAGAGTATGACAAGTTTACCAACATTTCCAACTCTGTGGATACTCATGGTGTTTGCAGGCTCTTCGGATAAGGATGTCTTAATGATCGAAGAGGGAAGAAAACGCGAAAAAAACCTGAAAACTTTGAGTTTCAGATTTGATTTACTGAAGATCAAGATGTGCACATGAGACAACAAACCCTGAAGGTTAGTCATAAGATGTTGATGTTTTACTTGTAAGAATCGCAAAGTTGTATGTAGAGACGATCGTGAGATATTTGTTCCGATAAAAGAAGTTAATGTAGAATGTGAACTTATTTTACTTCAACTTTGAAGTAAAATTGTATAAAGTTCGAGGTGGCCCCCAAGCTTCAAATCACTTCAAATAACATCGTCTTTTCTCTCTCTTCGGAGTCACATAGGACACAGGGCTTTAAAAAATGTTCCAGCTACAGGATTGAGTTCCTCTTACTGTAACCTTCGGCGACTTCGTTTTTGGGAGGTTTTGGTGGTTTTTCCAAGCCATGGCTCACAACTGTCTTTGGCCATTTTGCTCTCCAAGTCTGCTGTACATGGTATGGAGGTATGTATCTTAACAACGATTATATTCTTGCCTCAATCATCTCCGGTTTTATCTTTGTCTTTTTTGCTACGTTTTGGTGGGAATTTTTCTAATTACCTTTTTGGGCTTAAAGTGTTAACTAGAGGATAAACTTCGTTAGAACTTATTTATCACATGGCCCCACATTCCCTAACCACTGTCAGTTTATTGTTTATTAATTTAGCTTCCGCACTGTAAAATGAGGTGTTGATTTGGCCCAAAAAATGGGGCCAAAACGAGTGAGTCCAGTTTGGTACTGGCTTGGGGTCAATTCGGCCCCATTGAAATGGGGTTGTTTTTGGCACCAGTTTTTGGGCTAAGTCGACCCAATTGTAAGGGCCAAATTGGACCATGTGAAGGGCTAATTTGGAAAATTCCGGAGCCACATTGGAATTTAAAGGGGCCAAAACGGCCCCCAAAATTTCAGCCCTCACAAATGACCCCCTTAAAATAGCCAATTCAGCTCAAATGTGGGCCACTTCAGAAGTAAGTTCTCCATGCTGATTTCCCCCCTTTCAGGCAAATAATGAAAATACACCACATACTTTATCTTTCAAACACTCATTCAGTAGGTTCTAGATGTTGTTCATGTAAAAACCTTTTACAGTGCATGATTTTACAGTTATTAGGAATCTTAATTGTAGTACAAAACAGACAAACTTTGGAACATCATGTAAAAGAATAGAACATACATACATATTTAACATTAATTCAACCATTTCCAAAAATAGATCTCTTCCCTTAATCAGTATACTTCTTAACAGAGCAAGCATTGCAAGAAATTACACCCAAGAGACACTTGTGAGTAAAGCTTCGCTTTTCAATGACTTAGCAAATGTGGTAACGTAAAGCAGCTTATAATCAAGACTGATTTAAAGTACAGAAAATTATCAAAATAAGACAGAGGCAACAAATGGTCCAGTTCCTGCACAAGAATATAGATCTTGTTTGATTTGTGCATATGAAAAATAAATTAGAGCAGCATTGAGTATTCTTCCAGTGGATGTGAGAATACATGCACTCATATTGCTACTTTAGATGTTATCAAAATATAAACTTTCAGCTAGTACTACCTTAGGCATTTGCCAAGTCATGGAAAATGGAGGAAACAGTGACAAGAGTCTGCCTGTGCCCAATTTCAAGCAATACTTGCTCTAAAGAAGTCAAAATTGCCTTTGACTGATTATAAGAAACATTGAAAATATAAATTACCAAAGTAACCCAGTGAGAG